GATGTTGAATCGGTGGCATAGGTGCCGGAACTGAGAGGAGTCGAATTGTTTACCGTTGTCGGTGATGATTGCGTTCGGGAGGCCGAACCGACAAATGATATTCTTCCATACGAAATGCTCAACCCTGGCTGCGGTGATGGTTGCCAAGGCTTCGGCTTCAGTCCACTTCGTGAAGTAGTCGACAGCGACGATGGCGAATTTAAGCTGTCCCTTTCCTTGGGGCATGGGGCCAATGAGATCTAAACCACATTGAGCAAAGGGCCATGGGCTGACAATCGGAGTGAGCGGTTCGGCAGGTAGTTTCGGGACGGAGCCGAAACGCTGGCAATGATCACACCTTTGGACAAGTGCTGTGGCATCGGCATGGAGAGTCGGCCAATAGTACCCTTGGCGAATGGTTTTGAAGGCCAGAGATCGGGCGCCAGAATGGTCCCCGCAAGCTTCTTCGTGGATTTCTTGTAGAACGTAGCTACCTTGCTGTGGAGTCATGCACCGAAGCAGCGGTAAAGAGTGACCACGCCGATAGAGAATCTGGTTCAAAATTAAGTATCGTGCCGATTGGTGATGGAGAGTTTTGGCCTCGGTTTTGTCGCTTGGTAGCGTTCCGCTTGTGAGGTAAGTATGGATAGAGTGTACCTCAGCGTCCGAGGTGCTGCGCCGAGCGAGAATTTCGATCGGCACATGGCGACCAACATTGTCGTCGATTGCCGATGCAAGGCGTGATAGAGCATCGGCGTGGCTGTTCTCGGATCTGGGGATCTGCTGAACTTGATACGCAGCAAAGTGGTGAAGCAGTCGGCGAGCGTGTGTCAAGTAGGCAGCCATCGAAGTATCCTTAGCTTCGAATTCAGTCAGTATCTGATTGACGACAAGTTGTGAGTCGCTGCATATCTTTAGTTGTTGAGCTCCTATCTCCCTAGCGAGCCGAAGGCCTGCCAGAAGAGCTTTGTATTCTGTTTCGTTGTTGGAAGCTTGGAATTGGAAACGGATGGCATATTCGATGGTTGTCTGATCAGGGGCTTTTAGTACTAAGCCGGCTCCGCTGCCTTGTCGGTTGGACGAGCCGTCTACATAGAGAGTCCATACGGGAATCGATGGAAGAAAAGTCCCTTCGGTCGGGTGGGTGACTGGTACCGCCGAAGCCATACTGGGGGCGACATCCCTCGGATCTGCGTCCTCGGATGTAGTCAATTCGAAGATGAAATCAGCGACGGCCTGGCCCTTCTCGGCAGGGCGAGGGTGATAGCGGATGTCGAATTCGCTGAGTTCAATAGCCCATTTGACTAGCCAACCGGACGTCTCGGGTCGTTGCAGTATTTGGCGCAGAGGCTGATTGGTGAGAACGGTAATACTGTGAGCCTGGAAATATGGCCGAAGCTTTCGAGCTGAGAGGACGAGAGCATAGGCGAGCTTTTTCAGTTCGGGGTACCGAAGCTCGGCGTCCTGCAAAGCATGGCTAGTATAGAAAATTGGAAGCTCTATGCCGTTCGGCTTGCGAATGAGCACAGAACTGAGTGCCGTTGCCGAAACAGAGAGGTATAGAATGAGTTCCTCGCCAGGAAGGGGGTGGATAATAGGGGCGCTCTGCTCATGTAAGCCTTGAGGTCCTAGAAAGCTCGGTCGCATTCGGCAGTCCAAACAATCTGCCGTTTACTTCCCTTGAGGGCCTTAAAGAAAAAGACCAGCGCCGGCCCTTGCCATGGCCGAAGTAGAGAGAATCGAAGAGAGAGAGAGAGAGAGAGAGAGAGA